GTGCAGCAGTCATATTTGTCCGTCTAAAAAATGCACTGAAAATGCGTTCTGTGTGAATGGCTTGGTTTCGGTTTTAACCTAATCAAGATCTTCTCCACATTGAGCTACTATATTTCTCTAATATTTTGAATGAATAGCGCAGCAACTGTGCGTCTCGTGGGCTAGACTAACAAAACACTAAACTACAACGTCACTTACATCATCATCACCGCATCTCGTGCTCCACTGATGACGCACATCTAACATAGGATTGTACTATTTTTGCATTCAAATGCAAATGTTTATTTTAAATTCGACTAATATTCATTCTTCACTCACAATCTCCTCGTCACAGGCAGGCACCGCACTCATGTTCGTGTTTGTGTGTGCTGTCTGCGTCACTCATAGCATGTGCCTATATCGTGCACTATATCGAACATTTTTTATATCGTTATCGAAGAAGGTGTACCGTCGATAATTATCGATACCGTTTTATCGCACAGACCTAGAAAGCAGTTTATTTTCAGACAGAATATCCACTTTTTATAATGACAGTATATAAACATTCCTGTTTTAATGAACAAGGCATAAGCATAATCCTGTATGCAACAACTTTTTCAGCCTATTCAAATTCAAGATTCATCTGGAGAGGATTTTCTTTTTCCTGACTTTGACTTTATAACTACTTCCAAAAAAAAAAAAAGATTTTTTTTCTTTTTTAGATTTAAACCTATTTTCCTTCAATTAGAACAGGTGTTTTTTTGTTTTTTTTGGAGCTGATTAATTGTCCAATTCATTCATCTAAGTTTATGCACCTCAGTTTTTGAATGAGAAGCATTATTTGTGGATCATTTTGGCAATGTTCAATCGAAAGCTAAGGTGCATAAGCTCAGATCAATGAGGCAGATGACCAATCAGTTCCAAAAAGTGATATGAAACATGCTTATCGAAAGAAAATCAAGTTGGCACTAAATCCAATATTCGATGATAATATAGCATAATGAGACATTTTTCAAAAGCGGGTCGTTTTTAACCAGAAACACCAAAATAGGTCAAGGATTTTTAGCACAGCACAAAGGTTAAGTGAAAATACTAAAGCATTGAAAAATGCCGTTTTATTTTACCTGGGCCCTGCAGACATAACAGAGCAGCTGGTTTCTGTGCAGAATTCAGTGATTGTGCCGTAGAGCATGTTGATCTGGTTGAAAAAGTCCACAGCTGAAATAAATGCATATGAATTAATTGACAATCATAAATACTCCCAACACCCAAACTCACCTGAATTGAAGATTGGCAGCATGTATATTGGTGATAAAACGTGTAACAACAAATGAATCGGTATTGTTTTTTCTAATTTCAATGTACCATCAAAACCTGATACCGAAACACTGATATTAAATACATTTTGTAATTATTTTAAATGACCAATTTTAACTGAAATAAAGAGCATACAGTTTCTATTTATTAACAATGTTTATCTAGCTTTCTTTTTTTGTATGATAATGTACTTTATTTAAAAAAAAAAAAAAACTCCTAATGTTTTTATTTTTACTACTCGAAGCATTTGAGTAAACACATGCACACTTAGATATATGACTGCCTGGAGATGTAATTATATGCACATATGTGAATAGGTGTATTATGTTTCCATGTACAATTGTAGATTTGAATTGTTCTATAGAAAACTCACTATTGACAGCAATCCATTCGTTAAGGTCCTCTCCCTCAGGTAGCATCACAGCAGCTCGAAGGTTTCCGCTTCCTAAGGTGGCCTCTGCATGCTTCAGCAGCTCATACTGATGAGAGCCTTCTGGGATATTCTTCTTGGGCTTGAATGTCTTTGATGAACGGCTTCCACTGCAATCATATTGTGTCACACCAATCAAGTCCACTGGGAACACGTGGTTAAACTGACTATAAACAATATATCAACAGAGGGTAAGAACTTAAAAAAATAAAAAATAAAGGGAAAAAAAATTAAAAAATTTTTTTTTTAATGCAAAACACGCCGAGATGAAGTTTTCATGCTCAACACAGGAACAGACAGCCAACCGGAAATGTTGAAAGCTGAACAACAGATGTTATTAGCTTGATTTCTAGCTGGATGTGCTTCCATATGACTATTTCTTCTGGGAATAAACAGCTGATTGCTGATATATATATCTGTGATACGCGATTATGGCAAGAAAGAAAAGGTTAATAAACGGTTGCATCGACTAAAATACTTACAATAAGAAACTCATATCCGGTTCTTTTCTTCTTCGGAAACAACTTTTAGAAGGCAATACGAATAACTACTACTATAAAGTTAGTTCCCAAAGGCAATTAAACAGCATTTATCAGCACTCTTCCGAGTTCGAGGTTTTACAGACGAAAGATATAAGTAGGCGTAGAAGTAGAGACTCAGGAAATGTCTACGATTGGTTCCCAGCGGGTGCCGCGGTGCAACCGTAGAAATAAACCGCGTGCTTGCGTGCAACCCTCCTGATTTATACGGACCGAATGTTGTTACAATTGTTCGGTACTTTCTAAACAATTAGAAGTGAAACTATGAGTCAAAAAAAGCCTCCCGTCTGCTAAAACCGTGGAGTTAAACGGAGCATGCGCGTTGCGGTGGAGGGCGGTAGTTTCCGCTCGCGGATCATACGGTGACGCACGGGGTTATAAACCGATGGTGTGCACACCTTTCTGCCTTATTTCCACCCGGTGTGTTTTGGGTCGCACACGTGCGATTTAGCCGTTTTCAATCTTTTTTTATTTTATTTTTATCTTAGTCTTATTTACATCACGCACCCATGGCTACACTCCGGGCGCTGCGGAAACTATGCCGGCATTCTCACCAGCAGGCATGTAGTTTTCACCTGTCATCTTCGAGGTAAGTTTCCGAGTCTCGTTTGTGACGGAATAAGCGCGAGCTACGAATGTCACCGCGTTCTGATCCGCTCGCGGTAAACCGGGGGTCATGTAACATACGGCGGAACTGTAACTCTTTATTTGTAACACCTCTGTTGTAATGATCTCACTATTGCACTTAGTTGCTTTATAACAGCATGTCGTTTGCGACTTCCTCTCTCGATGTTCAGTTATGTAACAAACGCCGGTTTAATTGCTCGGCTCCGCGGCTGATGTAATGTCATCAAGCGCTTGCGTCTCTGCTGATCTCAGCGCTCATGTGTTGGGTTTCCTCTCTCATGATTTGTGGTGATCGTTATGCATGCTTGCTCAAATTCAGCACATACTTGTTTTCATTTAAGCCCCGCGTGCTCAGTGATTGATTCATTTAGCGGTGCTGACTACATTTTCCGCACATGACTGAAACGTCTTCAAATACGCAGACATGCATTAAAAAAATTTTTTCTGTGTAAAATAAAGTCTCAAAAAGGAAAAGAAAAAAGAAACGTATATCAGTTTACGTGCATGCATGCATGCATACATACATAGGCCTATATATATATATATATATATATATATATGTATGTATATGTGTGTATGTATGTTTATGTGTATATATGTGTTGTCTTGTTACCTCAAGACTAAGAAAAAAACTAAACCACTCGAAATCACTTTGGTCACGCGACTGAATTATCACGGGAAAAACTAATTTTGTTATGTCGAGATCATGAGAAAATTAGGCTAAGTCGTGAAAACAATGAGTAGCTTTTTAAATCTAACGCATTTAACAGTTGTTCAGCCATTTATTGTTTACATTTACCTAAAATCGACATAGATTGCATGCGTTTTATCAGTTCAAGCATTCTCCGGGATTTGAACCCATAACCTTCGCTGTTGTCTTCTGAATAAAGAAAAATGCTATATAAAAGAATCACACAATTTGTAATGTTTTACAGCCTTGCATCTGAAAATGAACACGCATGATCATCATAACTAAAAAAATGATCACATCAGTAAAGGGAGGAACATGAACACTTTTGCGTGTAAATGAATGCAGAGAATGGTAAAAGATGTTCATACTACATTTGCATGGACTGTTTATATTTTCCATGTCTTAACTTATAATGCTCTTTAAAATTGATGTTTTTGTTGCCATACAATCAAGGCCCCTACATTTACATGAATCATTTAGAATATGCTTTTCTCCAAAGCTCCTTACAAATAAGGTGGGCTCTGACATTCTTCAAAGTGGCCTGTTATCTTAGTTCCTCTCCATATGTCTTCATTTAGACTGTATTCGATCACACCAGCACAGAGCTTATCATTAGACAGCAGCTGTGACTCCCAGTGTCACTTGTAGGTATCTGGGTTAACAGATAAATTCCACAGAAAAAAATTTATTTTTCAAACATATTTTTCCTTACTTATTTGGGTTCAAAGTTATCCAGAGCAGAAGCAGATTTGCAGTGACATTTTTGCCCTCCAATCCTCAATGTTTTATTTTTTAGACAAGAGGCTGTGATCATCTCGGGCAGGAAACTGGCACGGCAGATCCGCAACGAGGCGCGTGATGACGTGGAGGAGTGGGTCTCTGCTGGAAACCGACGGCCTCACCTGAGTGTGGTGTTAGTGGGGGACAATCCAGCCAGTCACTCGTACGTTCTCAATAAGACCCGTGCAGCAGCAGAAGTGGGTAAGACGCGTTCAAGCCCAGCACCAGACAGAAAAGCCTTTGTGCTTCACGGCTCACTGAAGTGAAATGAGGCAAATCTACCAGTTAAAATGCTGAATTCTTAAAGGGGACATCGGATGAAATAGTCACTCTTTTTGCATTTAGTTAGGTGTGTCTGCCAGCTCAGAAAAGCTGAAAAGAAACACGCAGCCAGTTTATGGGCAGTCTGAGTCTGAAACTGTGTCATCCAGCGAGCTGTTTCAATATGCAGCTGGCTTCTATGTAGATAGCTAGCTCTTTGAATAAGACCAACTCCGAGCCATATATGGAGTCCAAGGCTGCAATTCACTAGTCTTGTGTCGACGCCCCTCAGAAGAGAGGGGTGGAGTTATCAGTAGCTCATTATCATTTAAAGAGACATGCACCGAAACTGTGAACAGAGCTGTTTTTGACGAGGTAAAAAGGGTGTTGTTTTACACGACCATTGAGGAATTTTAACCAAAGTGTGTTACAGACATTTCATGAAGACCCTAAAGACTTGTGCCAACTTGTGGAAAATGGGCATCCGGCGTCCCCTTTAACATTTTGATGTAAAGCAGGGGTGTCAAACTCAATTCCTGGAGGGCCAGAGCCCTGCAGAGTGTAGATTCAACCCTAATTAAACACCTGAACCAACTAATAAAGTCCTTGAGGCTTATTTGAAAACTACATGGTGTGTGTGTGTGTGTGTTGGAGCAAAACTCTGCAGGGCTCCAGTCCTCCAGGAATTGAGTTTGGCAGATAAACATCAAATTTAATTTTTGGGTGAACTATCCCTTTAAGGGTTAGTTCACCCAAAACTGAAAATTGTCATTGTTCCCTCATTCTCACGTCTTTACAAACTCATGACTTTCGTTCCTCGCCGATCAAAGACTTTCATTCATCTTGACAACACAAATGAAGATATTTTTAATGAAACCGTAGAGATTCCTGTCCTTCTATTGATTGTCCGTTCCACCGATACTTGACGCTTCCAAAAGTTCATAAAAACGTAAATGTCATTTTAAATCAATCAGATGGTTTAATTCAACTCTTCTGAGGAGACATTGAGCACATCAAATATGATAAACGACAGCGCAAACTTCTGATAACCATATTTGATGTGCTGACGTGTGTCCTGATCAACGTTTATATTTGAATAAAAGTCTAAATTAAATCTGCTCATCATAAGAAGTGATTGTGTATCTTGATTGAACCACTCAATTAATATGGATTAAGGTTAAAATCTTTTTATGAACTTTGGATTCATCAAAGTTTGGGTTGTGTGGACTTTGAGTGGAAGGACAGAAATCTCTTGGGTTTCATTAAAAATATCCTCATTCATGTTTAGACGAGTCTTACGGGTTTGAAACAACATGAGGGTGAGTAAATGATTACACAATGGGTGAACTACGCCTTTAAAGCTTAAATTCTTTAAATGACTTTTGTAGATATTATGCTTGCATATTAATTTCTTTACAAAACTAAAATTTTAATTACTTTTTTTTTTTTTTAATTGTGAAATGGATGAATTGGACTGGATAGTCAATGAAAAGCAGCCATGAGTCTGTAGTTGTCTTCAGTATTGCTGTAGTAATGTAAGCGATGGGTGTCACTTTGCACTGTTGGCTGTGTACAGTATGTAAATCTATTTTGAGTGTTCATAGATTCCTTACAGGATCTCACACTCTGGCTCTACTCAACTCACACAAGCAACTCTGACTAGAGAGGCACTTTGGGGCCTATTGGCATAAATACTACTTATAAATACATATATAATACCTATATATTTTCTTCAGTGTTTTTGAAGTATTAGTTTTGCCCTTATTTATCTTTGTGCTACATTCTGTTGTATCACAGTTCTCTCTTATTCTCTGTAGGTATTAGTAGCGAGACCATCCTGAAACCTTCTAGCGTCTGTGAAGAGGAGCTGCTTGACCTCATCGAGAAACTCAACTCTGACCACAGAGTAGACGGTCTTCTGGTACAGCTACCTCTTCCTGGTAGGTTAACCGATGAGCCATAGCTGTGCTGATCTAGTGTCTCTTTAGTTGATGGACATTTTACACCATCAGTGCTGTGAACTGTGTTTTAAAAGTGATTGCATTAGGCTTAAAGCTGAATTTTAGACTCGATGGTCATTTAAAACCATTTTTGGGGCGTAACGCCTTACTGAAACTTATGATTCTTAAAGGGACCACAACCAAATAAAAGAAAAACGCAGAGATTCACTTCAAAACATGAAAACAAGACTTCTAACATATTATAATACTGTTCCCTCTCGTACACAGATCACATCGATGAGCGACGCGTATGCAATGCCGTGTGCCCAGGGAAAGATATTGATGGTTTCCATGTGGTCAATGTTGGCCGCATGTGTCTGGATCAGTCAACTATGCTGCCTGCCACTCCATGGGGGGTTTGGGAGATTATCAAACGCACAGGTGAGAAACCCTGTTAGACATTGTAGTATTACTCGGGGTTATGGGATTTAATGATGCCTCAAGTTGTTGAGGACAGGTATTACTTTTCTAAACAATCAGAATCCAGCATTAAATGAAAGAAGTAATTACTGTTTTGAAAATAGATATAACCAGGTTGTGTATACAAGAGATGTCGTATTGGACATTCAAGATGACTCGCTTCATATTTATTGAAATGAGAAGAGAAACCAGTTTGTGACCCGTGTAAGAATTTTTTTGAGTGTAAAACATATTTTAATAGAATGTCCGATTTTAAATGATATTAGACAATGATATTATTCAGATATTTTTTAAAAAGTCTCTCCTGGAAGAATTTTAGAATTTTTTATCACTGATTAAACTGAAAGATTGTATAGGGTTTTTAGCAGTACTATTGTTGTTTCTTGTATGTTTTTGTATAATGAAGATTACTAAAGAAAATTGTATATTTTTCTAAATGATGTATTGAAATGATATTGTTATTCACTGTTGCTGATATGGCATTAAAACATAAATAAATAAATAAATAAAAATAAATATTATTTTCAGCTGGTGGATACTAAAATTGGTGAACAAATCCCATAGACCTGAATTAAAGGAGACTTCAATAATCGTAGAAACTTGAGACAGTAAACGACCATCTAGGACAGAGTTTCCAAAACTGAGGGTTCGTGAAGGCACAGTTGATCAAAATAAATTAAAAAATAAATAAAAGGCTGCAATTTAATTAAATAAGTATAGTCTGTTTCAAAGCGGCTCACTTCACAGTAAATTCTGCTTCGCACAAACTCCATCTCTGCTCTGCATGTGTGCTTGGTTTATTTACAAATTTGCATAATTTCCAACATTTTGTGAACAGAAGTTGACAATTTCAACTGTATTAAATCAAAATAAATAGCTAAAGGCTCAAGGGTTTGAATGTTTGAAAGTAAAGAATTTAAGACATCGATATCGGTAACTCGTTATTTTTCTAAATATTTAATATTCTTTTTTTATTTTACATGAATGTATAATTGAATTTAAAACACAATGAAAATAAGAGTATTTTCTTTCTTATTTTCTTAGTTGGTTTCGGCAGCAGCAATACGAGACGTTTTAATTTGAAATGTAATATCGCTGTTAAAATCTCCATGTATGACGTTGTGCAACCCTATATATAAATATGAAATAAAAAAGCAATCAAAATAAAACATTTACTGAAAAAATTAATATTTTATCTGACCAACATCAGAGAACTGTTAATATGCAAAGATGTTCTATCAATGAAAATTATTGCCTTAAAATCTAAGGGAGGGTTTCAAGTAAATAGTTTACGTGTAAAAGGTTCGGCTGACAAAAAGTTTGTGAACCCCTGATCTAGAACACTTTAGCAACATCAAAGTAACACCCTGGCATTGTGGTGGCAATCTTACACCGCCAACAACCATCTTGTTGTATTTGTATTGATAATGTCAGATGATGCTGACTGAACCTGTCTTGTCTCATAGGCATACAGACGCTGGGTAAGAATGTGGTGGTGGCTGGTCGCTCCAAGAATGTTGGGATGCCCATTGCAATGCTGCTGCACACAGACGGCAGACATGAAAGGCCAGGAGGTGAGTCTGTGTGTGGAGAGGAGAAGCAAAGCGGAAGTATTTATATGCAGTTCTGATGAGTGGTCCTACAAGGCAATTCGTGTAAAGCGTCCTACCTCTTTTGTTTTTAGGTGATGCCACAGTGACCATCTCCCACCGTTACACTCCCAAAGAACAGCTCCGTCAGCACACACAGATCGCAGACATTATCGTCGCTGCTGCAGGTTTGAATTTCTATTTGTAATGTCCATTTCATGCATGTTTACCGCTATGTCTGTTATTACTGGGTGGTGCTCACAGGGACCAAGATTCACAAACACTATTACCTCCCTTCAGGTATTCCCAACCTCATCACTGCTGATATGATAAAGGAGGGTGCAGCTGTTATAGATGTTGGCATCAACAGAATATTGGACCCCTTGACTGGGAAAAATAGACTTGTTGGTGACGTGGACTTTGAAGGTGAGAAGGAAGGAACTAGAAGTGTGATTCGTGTAATAAAAGCCTTTCTGAAAATCTTGGTTAAAATAATCTTTGTACTTGCACTTTATTTAACGTATGTAGTTTATAATATTGTATATCATTTCTAAAGATTTTCTGCTTTTAGTTCAGCCTGAACCGTGTCTTGGGAGTCTGTTTTCAGTAGCCGTTTCTTTTGGCTTTTAATTAAGGAATTTTAAGATTTTAGTTTGAAAATCTCCCTTCGACTTACATTGATAAGTGTTAAATCATGCTAGAAACATCTAACAACATGGTAAATCATGTTAGCAATGTGCTGAAACATGTTAACAATATGGTAAATCATGTTAGAAATGTTAGCAACATTGTGTTAGAAACATGCTAGCAATGTGCTAATCAGTGTTAGAAGCATGCTAACAACGTGTTAAGTCATGCTATAAACATGTTAACAGTGTGTTAATGTTAGAAACATGCTAACAACGTTAAATCATGTTAGAAACGTGTTGGCAATAGGCTAATGTTAGAAACATGCTAGCAATGTACTAATTAATGTTAGAAATCAGCTAGAAACGTGTTACATGCTAAGACATGCTAGCAGTGTTAAATTATGCTAGAAACATCTAACAACATGGTAAATCATGTTAGCAATGTGCTGAAACATGTTAACAATATGGTAAATCATGTTAGAAATGTTAGCAACATTGTGTTAGAAACATGCTTGCAATGTGTTAAACATGCTAGCAATGTGCTAATCAGTGTTAGAAGCATGCTAACAACATGTTAAGTCGTGCTATAAACATGTTAACAGTGTGTTAATGTTAGAAAAATGCTAACAACGTTAAAACATGTTAGCAATAGGCTAATGTTAGAAACATGCTAGCAATGTTCTAAAACATGTTAGCAATGTACTAATTAATGTTAGAAATCAGCTAGCAACGTGTTACATGCTAAGACATGCTAGCAATGTTAAATTATGCTAGAAACATCTAACAACATGGTAAATCATGTTAGCAATGTGCTGAAACATGTTAGCGATATGGTAAATCATGTTAGAAATGTTAACAACATTGTGTTAGAAACATGCTTGCAATGTGTTAAACATGCTAGCAATGTGCTAATCCGTGTTGGAAGCATGCTAACAACGTGTTAAGTCTTGCTGTAAACATGTTAACAGTGTGTTAATGTTAGAAAAATGTTAACAACGTTAAATCATGTTAGAAACGTGTTAGCAATGAGCTAATGTTAGAAATATGCTAACAATGTCTTACATTTAGAAACATGTTAGCTATGTCAATCATGTTAGAAACGTGTTAGCAATAGGCTAATGTTAGAAACATGCTAACAACATGTTAAATCTAGAAACATGTTAGCAATGTACTAATTCATGTTAGAAATCAGCTAGCAACGTGTTAATCATGTTAGCGATGAGCTAATGTTAGAAACATGCTAACAATGTCTTAAATATAGAAACATGTTAGCTATGTTAAATCATGTTAAAATATGTTAACGTGTTAAATGATGCTAAAAACGTGTTAGCAATGAGCTAATGTTAGAAACATGCTAACAACAGGTTAAATCTAGAAACATGCTAGCATTGTGTTAAATCATGTTAACAATGTGTTAAATCATGCTAGCAACATGTTAGCAATGTGTTAATGTTAGAAACTAACAACATATTAAATCACATGCTAGGAACATTCTAGCAACGTGCTAAATCATGTGAGCGTGTTTAAACATGCTAGTAATGTGCCAGTTCATGCTAGAAACGTATTAGCAACGTTCAAAATCATGCTAGCAAGAAGCACGCGAAAACATATCTGCTATATTGCACTTCTCAGAGAAACTTTCAAAACAAGATTTTCAAAGCGATTTCAACTTTTCAGACAAGGCTTTGTCGAGCTAACATCAAGGTTTACTCGTCTAGTTTTTGACTGTTGATGTACGTCTCCACAGGTGTTAGAAAGAAGGCCAGCTACATTACTCCAGTTCCAGGCGGTGTTGGACCCATGACCGTAGCCATGCTGATGAAAAACACAATCAAGGCAGCGAAAAGCATCATTTTAACCCCCCCTCAGCGAGTTCGGATGGCAGCGTCCTCATAACATCACTTCACTTTGAGGGGCTCCTGGTGGAAAATCAATATTTTGAATGGCTATTTTTGAGTCCCATTATAGTCTAGTTAAATATATTTAAAGGTTTGAGAAAATGAATGTGCTTTTTCATTCAGATAGTGTATGTTTTTTCAGTTACCCGGTCAAGCTTTAAACACTTTCACTTTTGTTTCTACACTGTTACAGCTTTGCTTTTTCAGCTCTCTGTATGTTTAAGTATTATAATAGGAGATTGCCAGACATTTCTGAAGCATATTTATTAACAAGAAACACTTAAGCAATGTTCTACATCAACTGCAGTCAGTGTTTAGACCGTGTGGTTGTTTTTACCTTGTGTTCTTGCAGTCACATGTCCAATACTGGTCAATACTTGTGAGTCAGCATGCAAGATAACTGACCAAATAACCTTTACAACAACAGTCTATTCATTTGGGGGTGTTTGTGACTGAACTGATCCATCACTGCTTCTTTTTTTTATTATTATTCCCCCTTTATCTGGCCTTTTGAGGGTGCAAAGAGTGATGATAAAGGAGCAGTGGATAGGGACATACAGAACCTCTTAGAAAAGGAGAGATAATTTGGCTAAATCTAGCCAAGTTAGTGCTTTTTTAGCAGTATGCTCCAGTGACAAGTGTTGTTGAAGTCATAATTGTTTTGCATACTAACATGTAATGCCTTTCAAGCACTACAATAAATGTATCATATGTGAACTGATGTTTTATTTGAATCCTATTGTAAGTCACTTTGGATAAAAACGTCCGCATAAATGTAAATTTAGAGCATATTATAGAATATATAATATAGTTATTTAAAACAAATTTATTTAGTTATATTTGTATTTATTTATTTCAAAGAACGCACGAGGTCTTTTATTTTGAAAAGCTGACGAACACGGATTTCCGGCGTGCTGTTGTTTGTTTCATGTGACTGCAAAGTGCACACGTACAGCTTTCTCCTGATTTAAAGCTCTTACAAAGCAGAAAGAAAACATTCTGGATTGGTGAACGAGTAAGTATTAATTGGCGACATTTACTGAGTCACTATAAGTAAGATGAAGCATGTGCTGGCGTCATTTGATATCAGATAAGTAACGTTAGAGACCCGGAAGAGATGTAGCTCTCCGCAGGCCTGCAGCTCGGGGTCTGTCTCAAATTCAGTGCACTGCGGTTCTGAAGCCTTGTTTATGCTGTAGATCAGGGGTCTCCAAACTCGGTCCTGGAGGGTAGGTGTCCTGCAGAGTTCAGCTTCAACCCTGATCAAACACACCTGAACCAGCTAATCAAGCTCTTACTAAGCATACTAGAAAGGTGTGTTGAGGCAAGTTGGAGCTAAACTCTGCAGGACACTGGCCCTCCAGAACCGAGTTTGGTGACCCCTTCTCCCCAAACGCTAGCCGAGTTTATAACCAAACACGTTCGCGCAGTTGCATTATTCTCCGAAACGATAGGTGGCAGTGCAAAGGAAACATCAGTTAAACCAGCAAGAAAATGCTTTACTGAACTTTAATTTTCCTTTGCCAGGAATGATAGTTCATATTCACGAGTGTTTTTCTTAATTAAGTGGTTTCTTGTAACCAGATGCAGTAAGCTATATTTAATAATGTGAGGGGTCGCTTAGAAAATTGCTGAATACTGAACTCGTGTAACAGAACCGGGCGGAGCTGCGTTTGGGGCGTGTCTACTGATAGATCAGTGGGTGTGGCTACACGTTTGGCTCCGCCCCACATCTCAGGAACAGGACACTGGCCCTCCAGAACCGAGTTTGGTGACCCCTTCTCCCCAAACGCTAGCCGAGTTTATAACCAAACACGTTCGCGCAGTTGCATTATTCTCCGAAACGATAGGTGGCAGTGCAAAGGAAACATCAGTTAAACCAGCAAGAAAATGCTTTACTGAACTTTAATTTTCCTTTGCCAGGAATGATAGTTCATATTCACGAGTGTTTTTCTTAATTAAGTGGTATCTTGTAACCAGATGCAGTAGGCTATATTTAATAATGTGAGGAGTCGCTTAGAAATTTGCTGAATACTGAACTCGTGTAACAGAACCGGGCGGAGCTGCATTTGGGGCGTGTCTACTGATAGATCAGTGGGTGTGGCTACACGTTTAGCTCCGCCCCACATCTCAGGAACGAGTACATGGACTGATCGGTAAATTGTTGATAGACACTGCCGTTCAAAAGTTTGGGATCAGTAAGATTTGTAATGTTTTTTTGTTTTTTTTAAGTCTCTTCTGCTCACTAAGGCTGCATTGATTTGATCAGAAATACAGAAAAAACAGTAATATTGTAAAATATTATTGCAATTTAAACTACTGGTTTTCGGTTTGAATATATATACTTTAAAATATAATTTATTGCTGCGATCAAAGCTGAATTTTCAGCATCATTACTCCAGTCTTCAGTGTAACGTGACTAAGACTTGTGAGATGTAAACAAAGAAAAGTTACTTTTTGACTGTGTGGGTTTCCCGGTTAAGATGACAGACTAGTAATGTAGAAAAAAGTGACAACATGTTCAACATTGACAGGGCTCTGTGTGTGTGTGTTTCCCTCAATTGCAAGAAAAAAAGTTGATTGTGAGATTTAAAAAAAAATTTAAATTGTGAGATAAGAAATTGCAATTACCTTTTTTAATATTATTGCAATTTAAACTACTGGTTTTCGGTTTGAATATATATACTTTAAAATATAATTTATTGCTGCGATCAAAGCTGAATTTTCAGCATCATTACTCCAGTCTTCAGTGTAACGTGACTAAGACTTGTGAGATGTAAACAAAGAAAAGTTACTTTTTGACTGTGTGGGTTTCCCGGTTAAGATGACAGACTAGTAATGTAGAAAAAAGTGACAACATGTTCAACATTGACAGGGCTCTGTGTGTGTGTGTTTCCCTCAATTGCAAGAAAAAAAGTTGATTGTGAGATTAAAAAAAAATGTAAATTGTGAGATAAGAAATTGCAATTACCTTTTTTTATTTTTTGTCCCATGGTGTTTGCATGGCTTCCATGCAAATATGTAAACTGCAAAACTAGTGCACTTTCAGTAATCTGTTCATATGGGCACTGAAATGAACGTGTGCTGAATAATAAATGCTGTAAAGGAGTGTTCATTGTTAGCCTATGATAACCAGTGTTGGGGGTAACGCATTACAAGTAACGCGAGTTACGTAATCAGATTACTTTTTTTCAAGTAACTAGTAAAGTAACGCATTACTTTTTAATTTACAAGAGAATATCTGAGTTACTTTTTCAAATAAGTAATGCAAGTTACTTCCCTGACAACAGCTGAATTTATAACTGTAGGGGACTTTTCAGCAGTGTTGGGGGTAACGCATTACAAGTAACGCGAGTTACGTAATCAGATTACTTTTTTCAAGTAACTAGTAAAGTAACGCATTACTTTTTAATTTACAAGAGAATATCAGTTACTTTTTCAAATAAGTAACGCAAGTTACTTTTTTTTCCAATTTATTGATTGACAGCTCTCCTGTCTCCATGTTGAGAGAAATCAGATGTTACTGTAGTTCTAAAATAAATATGAATATGCATTAATTCATCTCACTCACAAAAAAAAAACACTCAGATTCAGTATTCCTCAAAATGAATAAAAATAATGCAACTCAGAATATGACGCAAACCTGCAATAATTAAATGTTAAATATCCTTTGTGTATTTAATCCCATTCTATTAACCAATGTCTTCGATGATCCAGTTCAACCGTACTAATAAGCACAAATTACTCTAGACAAACATTTGTGTCTTTTTTATTGCTGAAGTGTGTTGAAATGTCTTCTTCTGCATTCTACTGTACGGACGTAAATTTACTTTCCCTTCAGCCTGAGGCTTATTCATTTCACTTTTGGTGTGAAAAGGCTTTTATATTTGCCAAAAATAGAACTTTTTAAATTTAAAAACAAACAAGCAAGCCCTGTCCAGATTTACAAAGTAACGCAAAAGTAACGTAACACATTACTTTACATAAAAAGTAACTAAGTACCGTAATTAGTTACTTTTTTTAATTGAGTAACGCAATATTGTAATGCATTACTTTTAAAAGTAACTTTCCCCAACACTGATGATAACTAGTGCATTAGATAATGTTAACTAATTTTACTTCATGGTAAAGTGTTACCAGCATTCTATATTTGGTATACATTGCACTATTATGTTGTTTTTAATCTGCACTTTGATAATTGCATTTGCGTATTTAATAAGATCATACTGCTTTAAAACAGTAACAAAACAGGACTACTTTCCTGTCTGCTTCACAAGTAGATTATTACTCATGGGAGGGAGTGATGCTGATAGCGGATCTAAGAGCAGACACAGAGATGAGAGCAAATCCAGGAGCTTGTCATCATCAAGCGCCAGGAGATCCAGTCCAAGCCCTCAGAAGAGACATGAACGTAAGAGAAAGTGTATGAACTGTCAATCAGACAACAGGAGGCATTGTGTATTCATAAATTACTGTGTATACTGTATTTGTGGCGACACTACGCGTACGTATAATAGAAGTCTCCCAACTTCTGATCCGAAATTAGAGCGGAAAAAGAAGAAAAGGAGAAGTCCATCCAGCTCTTCATCATCTTCCGGCTCCGCTTCCCCATCCAGAGAAAAAAAGGCCAGGAAGAAAAAGAAACAGAAACTGAAGCGCGAAAAGAAGAAGGAGAAAAAGGAAAAGAAACGGCAAAAGAAGCTAGCATTGAAAGCTGAAAGAGCAGCAGCTTCGGTATCAACAGCTGCTGCTGCTTCTGATGAAACTCCTCAATCGCACCTGAAGACCTGGCAGTGTGAAGAAGCTAAAGAACACGGCCCTGGTATGTGCACAGAAATACACGAGTTACATCCAATATTTAGTTTAAAGGGGTCATATGATGCTATTTTAAAGATCATTATACGCTGTCTCTCTCTCTCTCTCTCACACACACACACATGCGCGTGCACGCACACACACATGATGCGCAAAACTCTGCATTTGAACAGTCAATAGCAAATACTTAAACTGATAACAAAACATACTTACAGTGCTGATTCAGAAGCGCCAGATTGTCATAGCAAAGTCAGAATTACCTCCTCTCCTAGGTTCACGAAACGGTCGTCCATAAAATGCATTGCTGTTCTGTTGTAAGTAATCTTAAAGATTCCTAAATGCATCTACTTTCGGCAGGCCAAATAAAGTGCTTTTGCTTTCGCACTGAAACACACAGCGTCTCCCTGACATGGCTGCATCAACACGACTGCTGTTCCTGAAACCACGCCTTCTTTCTTTGCGTGCACATTTGGGCGGCATTATGCTAATATTTCCACATAGTGACGATATGTGGGGGCGTGTTAGAACGAGCCGTTTTAGGTAGGCGTGGTTGACTCTTAACTTTTATAAAGAATATCTCTTTGGATTTGAGACTTTTGCAACTTTACAGATCTTCTTTATGCACCAAGAGCTTGTAACACTCCAAAGAGAAAGGAAAACTTGAAATCGCATCATATGACCCCTTTAATATCTAACAGAATTTGTTTGCTGGAGATAAAACGTCATTTCTCTCTCGCTGTAGTCATGACTGATGAACAGAAGGCCAGACATTGCACCAAGAGACCGATGACTAAAGAAGACTATGAGGCCAGGCAAAGCATCATCCGCCGGGTCCTGGACCCCGAGACGGGGCGAACCAGGTAAGTTTCCATCAGCCTGCTCCATCCACAAGACAATGA